CGGGCAGCGGGCAGGGCAGGCGCTTGGGGCTCTCCATGATCTGCATCTTCCTGGCGAAGGTGCTGCCGTCAACCCTCAGCTGGACAGGGATGTGCGGCGCCGGGTTCCAGCCGTGCAGCACCTTGGCCTCTGCTACGCCGAAGGTCGTGCTGATGGCCCAGTAGTCGATGATGCGCCCCCCAGGTCGGCAGGTGCCTTCGGCGGGGGCGACCACCTTGAGCTTGAGCGCGTTGAGAAAACCTGAAGCCGCCAACTCCTGTGGCTCCAGGTTGAAGTCGCCACCAATGGTGATGGGCTTGGCGATCTGCTTCGCCGCGCGGAAGGCGGCCTGCAGCACCTGGTAGTTGAAGTCGGACATGCCCTCGCTGTCCTTGAGGTAGACGTTGAACCAGGCGACTCCGCCAGGCGCGATGCCAGCGAAGTGGGCGACCGACGCCCTGCCAGGGAAGAGCTCAAACCCGCTCTTCATCTCGAATGCGCCGAGGCCGTGCGCGCGCGGCGCCAGCTGCAGCAGCCCGCCGTGGCCGTGAAGGCCTGGGCCCGTGCCCACTGCGGGGCACGCAAGGGCATGCCAGCCCTTCTTCTTGAACTTGTCGGTCACCTCTGCGCGCCGAAAGTCGGAGAGGTGGGTCTCCTGCACCGCAATCATGTCTGCGTTGCGCAACTGGTTCTCGTCGAGCAGCGCCTCGAACCTGCTGTAGGCGTTGGCATTGATGGTGAGCGCTGTCCACCACCGCCTCTTGGTAGAGCTACCCGCCTGCCGACTTGGATCGCTTGGCAGTGCGGATGGTCTCCATGGCCTCGGCAAGCCGCTTGCGCTCCCCTTCGTCCTGACATGAACCCAGCAGGCCGCCAGGATCATCGCCAGACATGAAAGCTTCGAAAGCCTCGTCGGGCGAAGTCCCTTGCGAAGGGCCGCCCTCAGCAGCGGCCGCTTCTCCTCCAGCTGCTGCTCCTTCAGGGGGGGCTGGCTCTTGAGCTGCATGCGCCTCGTGCTGCTGTGGCTCGGTCGGCCTGCTAGCGCTGTCAAGCTCGTCGACCGCAGCCTGGAGGGACTTGATGAAGTCGGCAAGCGAGATGCCCTCCGTGGGGATCTCTCCGAGCTTGACCTTGAGCTGCTGCGCCGTGAACGCTCCAGCTGCGGGTGCGCATGCACCGTGCAGCTTCGCCGCGTCCCGCTTCGCAGACTCGAGCTCCGTCTCTAACTTAGCCACCTCGGCCTCTGAGGTTGACACCGCCTCCAGCAGCTTGAGAGCCTTGTCCTTGCTGCTTGCCAAGCGGTCCTTCGCGTTCTGGAGGGCCCTGGCGGCTTTGTCGACGGCCTGAGGAGCTTCTCGACCAGCAGCGCCAAGCAACCCAGCAGCAGCAGCCCGCCTGGCGTTCTCGACCTTCTGCCTGGAAGAATGGGACAAGGCGCTCTTCGTCTTCTCGTAGATGTCTGCAGGAAGCTCGGACCACTCCTTGACATCGCTGGGCGAAAGGGTCGCTCCTGCGGCAGGCTGCTGTCGCTGTGCCTGTGGGGCACCTCCCTGCTTGGTCCAAGGCTTCCATCCTCCTTGCTGCCCCTTGCGCTGCATCCAGAAATCGGCTCCTGTCGGCCCGCCGTTCCATGGACGAGGCGGTGGCTTGGCATCTCCACAGTTGTTGCAAGTCCGTCGGCCCTTGGTATTGAACTCACCGCAGCTGCACTTCCAATACTCCGCCATGGCGTCAGTTCCCAAGCGAGTACGGTCAGCAAACACAGTAGGGTGAGTTTGCTGAGCGCAGTGGCGCCAGCAAGAAGACTGAGGGCGAACCGCGGACTAGCGGTATCCGTGTCCTCCTCGGGGGGAGGCATGATCTTGAGCCAAAATGGCTACGGACCCTCGGCGCCGAGGACAAAACCGTCTCCAATCGGTTGCGCCATATGTTGCGCCCTCGGCGGCCGAGAATAAAACCGTCGCGTAACGGGTGCGACCAGTCTGTTCAGTTCAGTTCAGTTCAGTTCAGTTCAGCTTCCCTCGCGAGAAACAAACAAATTCGGAATACGCTCGAAAACATACATTTCCAGAGCTCCGCGCGGATTTCTCAGATCGGCGCTGGACCCCCTTGGCGGCGCCTCCAGAACCGCCCCTCACGCGCTCCGCGCGCCAGCTGGGGGGGCCCAGCGCCGCTCCAAGAAATCAGCGCGAACCTCCGAGAGTTTATATTCATGTTTTTTTCTCCCGATTAATAACGGCCAAGGTGAAGAGGAGGGTCCCTGATTAAATCATCGAAGCATCGCCATGTGCACCTCGCTGTGTGTTCTACAAGGGGTCGTGGCCGTCTGGGCCGACAATGTGACCGGCATTGAGGCGAGAACGCGATTCTTGGAGACATTGTAAGGACGTCTCAAGCGAAACGGGTGCCAGACTGGGCGTCATCTGGCTACGGTGGGGGCATTGGATAAGGAATCGCTGGATAAGGAGTCCAGGGTCTGGAAGCCCGCGGAGCTCCAATCGTGGAGTGCCATGGGTATCACCGCCGCCCTCATTAGATAAGGGATCCTCCAGGGTCTGAAGCCTCCTGGGCACATTCCTGAACGAATGCCCCCACCGTACCCGACCCCCCTGTGCGACTCTACTGTGGTCCGTTTTCGCCACTACAAGAACCCTCTAGCGAAACGCTATCAAGAAACGAAAACTGCTGCCACCTCTTGGGGTGCATCGCCTGCTTGTTCTGGCCTCCGCGGACCTTCTGCCAACTTCCGCTGGCGGAGACGCCCTCGTTGAGCTGCCGCCCGACTTCCGCCAATGAAGAGTGGTCCAGTTCTCGATCCTAAAGGGCAATTTGATAGCAAGTTGCCAATGGCGACTACCATCGTCGATCGTTCTTAAAACAAAATCCGACTTCCTGCTAAGAAACCATCGGAACAATTCGCCGTCCTTTCAGACATCCTCTCACTGATGCGCCGAACCCTCCGAATGTCTCGAAATATCTTCTGGGTGCTTCCAGGAATCCTCGGATGAAGACTATGGCCCTCCGATCGCACGTTTTTGGCTGCCTTTCACAAGCGGGGTTCTCGGAACGGCGCTGGCCCTTTGAATTCATCTCCAGATCGTGAGTCATCTGGAAGCGGTGTTTATCTCAAACAGCCTGCTCAACGCTGATCAATTTACCGTTGTGCCTGCTAATTTTGCTCCCAGCCTGCGCTTTGCCCCTGAGCTTGCGTACTGGAGTGGCGAATGACTCAGGAGAGGGTGTGTGGGGAGGTGGGCACAGCGGCTTTGAGATGTGGTCCAAAGAGGGGAGATGGGGAGGAGGGGGAGGGGAGTGGATCCGGATGTTCCTGATGAGGAGGAGGCGAGTAAAGGGTCGGTGAGGTTCAGTGAAGGGATGAGCACACAGAGCCACCAGACCTCGGCAGACTGCTGCAAAAGTCTGCCCAGAACTCCTGACACTCAGAACGTGTGGGTGCTGGCGCTCCAAAAGGCAACTCCCTGGGAATGCTCGTCAAGGGTGCCCCGGGAGCCTGCCTGATATCCTGCGGGTCCCTTCCAAACACGCGGGGTGCGCACTCTGCAAGCTCGGCTTTCGATCTGCCCTTGGAGTCCTACTTCGGAAGGATGTGCGTTCGCAAGGATGTCATTCAGTGCCGAGATTCTCGGGTGAACTTCGGAACCCTGCGGGCGCCACTCCTGAGCGGCGGCGCACACTGCGGGGAGAGACACAACATGACTAAATCACCATGGTGGTTTTAGCCTGACCACCCACTGAGGGCATGGTGTAGCAGTACCCACCAGCACGGCATGCATCCAACCCCGAGGATCAAAAGCAGGGCATTCCAGGAGGAAGTCCCTGATACGTCCGCCATCCCAGTTCCAAACACGCGACGTGTAACGCATGCGTCAGGATGAGCCCAAGCCCGAATGCGGCCGCGCCCATGGGCGCTGTAGTTGGGACCTCGTAAGGGGCGCGAAACGTGTGGAGGACGCGCCAACCTGAGCCCATGCCCAGATGTGGTCGTGCCCTCTTGCGCCACATTAGGGACTCCCTGTGGTGCACGATGCCTGTGAGTGGCGTGCAGAAGTGGGCTCAAGCCTGACTGCGGTGACGCCCACTGGGGCTGCTGCCCATGGGGTACGAAACATGCAAAGGGCGTGCCAGAGCGAATCCGGGCTCGAATGCCCCCTCCCCTATGCGACGAACGAGCAACACACACACACACACCCATACCCATGGGGAGGACGGATGGGGGCTGCGGGTGCGTGTTGTCGGATGGGGGTCCCCGCTCGAAGAGGAGCCGCCCCCGCGGTCCGGCAACTCGCACTCACACCCACAGCCAGTCCTCCCTCCTCCGACCCCTCTATGGGTATGGGTGTGTGTGTTGTTCGTTCGTCGCCATGGGCCGCAAGAGGTGCGCCCGGATCAGCACACACCGAGCGCGGCAGCGCCCACAGTGGGCGCGGCGCCTCGGGGGTCCCTCCTCTTCGGAAGCGTCGGCAGCTGCTGCGGGCTGACATGCATTGCTCTTTTCGGCAGAGAGCCCGAGGGGGGGGAAGTGAGAAAGGGCGTGCCTTCTCAGAAGGCTCGGAAGTCCTCTGGCCTTCTGCTGAGAAGCTTCCTGAGCCTTCCCCGGAGCCACGGAAACCTGTCAGAAGGCCGGAGTGCTCCTGAGAAGCCCCGCCGCCTTCTGAGGAGGCCTTCCCCTTCTCACTGCCCCACCTTGCTCGCCGCCGATCTTTGGATTGCCCAAGCAATGCCACGCCCATCTTTGATCGCCCCCGCGAGCCACCCGTCACTTCAATCGGCGCGCCTCCTGGGTTTCTCGGATTGCCTGGTAACGTTCCATCGAGACTCCAGACTTTGCTAAGATGACGCCGCCCTGAGGCCCCCACAGAACTAGGCACGCGGATGACTACTCCTGGACAATCGTTCGGACAACAATGAGAGGACCGAGGCTAACTGTGTTGACGAGAACTTCAAATTCGACATTTTAAAGAAAAGAGCGAATCAACTTGGATATGGGCAAGCCCCCCCACACACAAAAGCATGCTCCTCCTGTGCCAGATCATCCTCTGGTCCAGACGTGCGGACAGTGCGGTCGTGCTCGGCCAACGAGGTGACGGCAAGGCTGGACGACACGGCCTGGAAAGCTAGGCATCGGCCAATCGCATGACTGAAGTGACAAGGAACATCTATTCGGGTCACCCCATGCCATGAAAAATAAACTTGTTCAACCTTTTCGCGTATGATCGTCCAAATGGTGCTCTCGTCGTCCCTCCCCTGCCTTCCCCTCCATCTCCTCCGCTGCTTTCCCCCGTTCCTCTTCCCCTCTCCCCATGCCCCTTCCCCCTCCCTCTCACTCCCCTCTCTCTCCACCCTCGACTACACCTGGGTGGCTTCACAATGGACTTCCACCGTGCTGACGCGAACTACATACGCTCGCCAATTCAGGGCCCCAAGCGAGAGCTCCAGAAAGCGGCGTCCAAAACGATAATTGGCCAACACCTTGCCAACCGAATTGGCTCCAACCATGGGACTCTCGTAGGCGCGGGGTAGGTTGCTCCGTATATCAAGTCGTAAGAAGTGGCGAACTTTTTGCGCCATAGGTTATACCAACAGTTACGCCATATGGTGTGTCATAGGTTGCGTATCGAACATATCTTGCACCACTAATTACGCCATGTAATGCGCAAACGGGTGCGCCAGATGTTGCGCCGTAGGTTGTGTCACAAGTTGTAGTATGGGTAGCGCCATCTGTTGTATCATAATGTCGACATGTATTGCGCCATAGGCTACGATATGAACTGCACCGTGGCTTGTGCCGTAAGTTCAGCCATACATTGCGCAACCCACGCCGCTGAAGAGGATCATACCGAGTGTTGATGGGCACAACCAGTGATCCTGCTAGTTAGTCAGATGAGTTCTAGAATAAGACGTGTTCGGGCTACGCCAAAATGAACTGTCAGTTTACGCCTGTTCGATTCAGGGAAGTCTGTTCGCGCGATCCCATTCGTTTCCAGGGCCACCCTGCAACTAGGAAGACGGGAGCGATGAACATAAGACGGGTGCGAGTGAGGAAGGGGTGGGGTGGTGACGATGATGTTGTTGTTGTTGTTGTTGTTGTTGGTTGTTGGTTGTTGTTGTTGTTGTTGTTATGGTTGTTGCTGTTCTTGTTGATATTGATGTTGATGTTGTTGTTGCTGCTGCAGCTGCTGTTGCTGTTATTGTTGAGCTTTCACGTCGAAGGAGCAATGATGGGTCACCCCCCTCAAGTGACCATTGTATTTTTCAATTGAAGTGCACTTCCTGGGACTTGCACCCTGTTTTTTGGTATAAGAGCAGCTGAGAGAAATGCCACCCAACAGTGTCTTCGGCCCCTGGTTTACCACAACAGCGGCTCCCGCATGATACGTCCTCACAAAGTATTCCAACCTCGCGCTCTCGTGCGGGACGCCCTCGCAATTTATTCAGACGCCGCGCCATCGACACTCAAGAATCACGCTCTCGCCTTGGCCTGTCTTGCAATTTAATTGGAAATCGCGCTGTCGCTCGACAATTCCTCGTGATTCATGCAGGACGTACGCTTCAGCAACCCGCCTGCTCGACCTGGCCGCCTTAGCCAGCCTTCCGGCCCGCCCGTTAGGGTCTACCCGCCTGATCTTCCCGTCTGGTTCTGCCAAATGTTTTCTGCTCCTAGCCCCCCTCCTGCGACTCTCTCTCTCGTGCTCCATCCTCCTCCCTCCCCCTTGTCTCTTCCTTCCATCCGTTCTCTCTTCCGCTGCCTTAGGGGCTGCACGAAATACACGTTGCAGGTAAGAAAGATATACCCCCAAGGGGGTACGATCGAAGACGAAGAAGGCGGGTATCGAGGGAATGGAATCTACGTCTTGAATGGCACGTGAGGAGATAAGAGCGGGCAGCCTTTGAAATCTTACTGTTGTTGATGATGCTGATGATGTTGATGATGCTGATGATGACGACGATGATGATGACGATGACGACAACAACGATGACGATGACGATGACGATGACGACGACGACGATGATGATGATGATGATGACGATGACGACGATCATGATGATGACGATGTTTATGATGTTATGGTGACGATGAGGAGGATGAGGAGGAGGGGGAGGAGGACGAGTAGGAGGGATGACCCTAGAAAGGAGCCAGAAATGTGACCAAGGAGAAACGGGAGGAGTGGAGGGGGATGACGAGTATGAGTAGGACGACAAGGACCACGAAGAGGGCGATGAGGAACAGGCGAGACACATGAACACAGGAACACCATCATCGCCTATTCTCCCTGGCCCTCTCCTCCTCCTCCTCCTGCTCCTCCTCCTCCTCTTCTTCCTCTTGCACCCCCCTCCTGGCACAACCCTCACAAGTGTCGTGCACCACAAGGAGCTCCACCTACGGCCCCAAAAGCAACCCTCACATAACGCCCCTCCGCTCGTGTCGGAACGCCCCTCCCGCGTTTCGTTCCCTCACAGGCGCTCCACCTATGGCCCCATGACCCACGTTCGCACAACGTCCCTCCGCCCATGTCGCCACATCCCTCAAACATTTCGCGTCCCACACGGCGCCCAACCCCAAGGTCAACGTTCCCATCATGTCCCTCAACCAATTTCGTCACACCTCTCACGCGTTGTACGGTGTTGTGCCCCACAGGGAGCTCTAGTTACGGCACCAAGGCCCCAAGGGCAACGTTCACATAGCGCCCCCCCCGCCCACCCAGCACAGCCTTCGTACGGTTCGTGCCTCACAAGGAGCTCCACCGACCTACATCCCTAGGGACAAGGTTCACACAGCGCACCCTTCCATTTCGGCGCACGCCTCACACGTTGCCCCACAGAGAGCTCCACCTACGACCCGAAGCAAAACGTTCGCATAACGTACCACTGTCCATTTCGGTAGATTCCTCATGCGTTTCGTGCCCCACTCGGAGCTCCACCAGCTGCCACACGGAAAATGTTCGCGTAGCATCCCCCTGCCCATGTCGGCACAACCCTGATACGTTGCGTGCCACAGAGGGAGCTCCACGTACGATCCCAATGACAACGTTCGCATAGCATCCCCGCCCACTTTAGCATACTCTCTCACGTGCCGTACCTCACAAACGGCCAATGAGGGCTCCACCTGCGGACATAGAGACAACCTTCGCGTAGCGTCCCCCTTCCATCTCGCCACATTCCTTACACGTTTCGTGCCCCACAAAGGGCTCCACCAACGACCGTCCGACCTTCCATGTAGGGACACATCACGCGTTTCGCGCCATACAAAGGGCCCCACCTACATCTCCAAGGAGAACGTTTGCACAACGTTCCGCTGCCCTTTCCAGCGCACACCTCACATGTGTCGTACCCCACAAGGCGCTCCACCTGCGGCCCTAGGAATACACAATCGCGTAGCCTCCCCGCGCCTGTTTCGCCCCCTCCCCCCCACCCCCCCACGCGTGCCGTGCCCCACAAGGGAGCTCGACCTACGGCGCTGGGGATCACGTTCGCATAACACCACCCGCCCATTCAGGCACACCATTAGCACGTTTCGTGCCCCACAGACAGCGCACCGCCTATGCCTTCAAGGATAATATTCACAGACCGTATCCCCAGCCCAGTGGGACATGCACTGTCACATGGATCTCCCCCCGAAGAACGCTCCATCTATGGCCCCGAAGGCAATGTTCGCATAGCGTCCTCCCGCCCATTTTCGCCACACCCTTCGTACGTTTGGTGCCCTAAAGGCAACGCTCGCGTAGCGTCTCCCCGCCAATTTCGGCACACCCCTCACAGATTTCGCGCCTCAGACTGATCTTCTCCACCTACGGCTCCAAAGACAACGTTCGCATCGTTCGCATCGCATCCTCCCGCTCATTTCGGCACACCCTTCACTCGTTTCATGCCCCGCAAGAAGCTCCACATATGGCCCCAGAGGTAGCGTACCCCCATCCATGTCGGCCCCTCTCCCCCCACGCGGCTCGTGCCCCGCAAAAAGCTCCACCTACGGCCCCAGAAGGCAACGTTCGCACAACGTTTCCCCGCCCATGTCGGCACACTCCTTACACGGACGGCTTGTACCCATACAAGCAGCTTCACCTACGGCCTCAATGGGTGCGTTCGCACGGGGGGCTCCGCCCCTTTCGGCACCCGACACCACTTGGACCTTCCGAAAGCCTTCTGGGGCCTTGCGAGCCTCAGGGGTGGACCTCTGGAGGACTCTGGCCACTTCCATCGATCTCTAGACCTCAGACCTACGTCGCGTGCTTTCCAAACCCAGCGTTTTTCGTTACGTTTGGCTTCTGTGGGAAGTTTTCGGGCACACAGGCGAAAAGACGCGAGAGGAGAAGGGGACAGCGCGACGCTCCAAAAGGGAAGCCGCATCCACTCCAATTGGTTTCTATCCTCGTGGGGGGCGTTACAGGGTGTGCAACACACACAAACGCACACGCACGCACACACACACAAGCAAACGCACACACACACACGCACGCGCATACACACGCACACACGCGCACACACGCACACTCGCACACACACACACACGCACACACACACACACACGCACACACACACACGCACACACACGCACACACATATACACACACTTTTTGCGTCGGAGGCTTGGCAGAGGCGACTGCTCTGGCGGAAGGGCAACAGGGGACACGCTGTATGCAAATTAAGGCCGCAATGCACGGAGGAGGAGGAGGAGGAGGAGGGGCCCCGGCGCGACAGGGGGAGAGGAAGTCGGGCCCACTCAGAGTCGCCGACTGCGGCAGGGGAAGCGCCGAGGGGGTGGAACCAGCGCCAGTACTGAGCTGCACTGAGCTGCACTGAGCTGAAGCTGGGGGGGGAAGCAGCCCAGCAGACTGGGCGGCCAGTGGGGGAGCAACACAAGCAAATCAGAGACTCGACCCAGCGAGCCGGTAGGCGCGGTCCCAAGGAAGAGCCACAGCGCCGAGACCAAGGGGCCTACGAGGCGCGGCGGGAGGCGAGAGGCAGAACCGGCCAAGCACGAGAGCGCCCGAACGGCCGCCACCGTGGCGAGCAACATGGCGGGCGACCCGACACGGAACCACCCCGGAAGAGCGGCGCGGAGCAGAGGCCGCCAGCGGAAGGCGGGCGAGCAGAGCGCCGGGACCAGG